AGAGAGCCTTAAGTTTCTTTATTAATATTTGTAAATTTTTGCGAGTATATAAACTAAATATATAGAAAATTATCGCAATTCGATCGATCGCGTGATCTAAAATCGCGAGATAAGTCGAAGCAAGTAATTTGTTTGAATTCGCATAATCTCCGATCGGTCGAAACAACGGTCAATTGCCGTCGTTTCGAGCTGCAACCCTACAAATTTATCGCGCGTGCCTGTTTATCGCGCGCGCTCATTGTGTAGTTGCGTTGCGCTTTTATCCGGAATAATACACGCGCGCGTTATCGCGCGTTTTGCGGGTAACGCGCGATTCCGAAATCCGCGCAAATGCAACGCCGCTCGCTACGCATATTCGCGCGCTCAGACCCCGTACGATGCCGAATTTGTATTGCGAAATTACGCGTCGCGGAAAATCCACGGGCAAATATTTGCGGTATCGGTCATGTAGAAATGTTAATCGCGCTGCAAACCAACGCGTTCGATCAAAGAAAAAGCGTAGTAGACGCGTGGATTCGCGCGTACACAAATATATTTTGTTTGCACGCGTATACGATATACAAAAGTGTTAAGTGTCGGACTATATATCTACGGTGTTTACTTTCCAAAAATATTTTTTAATTTCAATTATTCGCATCTCTAACGATGCGAAAAAAGAGAGTTTTGCTATATTTTTAAAACAGCTCCACAACAACAAAAATTAGAGAAAATATGTTTCTTGAATATTTTGCAAAAATGTTGAAGTGAGAGAAAAATAAGAAAGTCTCTTTTCAATATCTCTGCGCACAGGCGCGGAGATTTTATTCAAGAAACAGCAACATATCGCGCTCTCTCAACGTTTCAATCGCAGGTGAGTCTCACCTCCGGGAAAATTGCGCGCCCGAAACTGATATCAGTCGAAACGATTCGTTCCACGACAGACGAAATATTGTATCGCGCGTTCATATTTTCTCTCGCTCCACTTTTGCACGGTGTCGCGCGCGGCTTTCCTTCCTCCAGAGAAAGACGACGTGTCGCTTTTTATGCAGATCTCGCTCTCTTCCTCTCTCTCTCTCTCTCTCTCTCTCTCTCTCTCTCTTTCTCTCTTTCTCTCCCGTTTCCGCTTCGAAGGGGTTGGAACGTAAAACGCTCGCCGCGCTCGAGTCCGTGAATTCGCGCGGAACGTTGCGGAAAACGCGAGCAGCCGTGTTTTATCTCGCGACTGCAAACTTCATCTTTGCCTCGGGGAGACGAGAGATCGAGGAGGCGGGGAATGATGCGCGCGAGCAAGAGAGAGAGAGAGAGAGATAGCGGGCGAGACTATTGGGGATTCCTGAAGGCGTTCGGGGATGCTGCAGCAGCAACTCTCCTCTCGACGGATATACACCGGATATTCCTCCGGACAATGGTCGTTCAGGAAGCCATTGATCGAGCCCGCTGCTCGCATAGTTGGCGAATAATCGGCGCGCCCGGCGTCGATAATTATTTCGGCGCGCCGCCGTCGAGTCGACGAAAAGTTCGTCGAAGTTTCAACAAGGGGAGCGGGAGGAGAGAGAGAGAGACGCTAATAAAAAGGCGAGAAATCGAACGCGGCACGCCTGAATCGCGCCCGAGCGATCGAAGTTGTTTTCTGAAGAAATTGCTTTCTCGTGATTGTAGAATTAAAGAAGATTAGCGAGAGAGAAACGGTTCTATCCGATTCCGTGAATTGAAAGATATCAATCTGACGATCTCTCGCTTAGGAGCAGAGAGCGAGAGCGGCTAAGGAGACGCGATAAAGAAAAGAAAAATCGTTTAAGTTAGAAAAACCTAATTTGTTCGATGAATCTTCCTTGCGCCGAGATGTGCAAACTCGTGTCTAAAATTTGGCGCGCTTAAATTGTTAACTCTGTGTATACCGGTAGTATCTCTCCGTAAGCCTCGCAACGCGCTCTCCACGCGCGCCGCTCAAAGCCCGGGTGAATTTCCGCTCGTTCTATTTCGCGAGAGCCCCGGTCATTGAGCTCGACATTAGCCGAATTGGTTAACGGTATCGTACGGTCGGGTTGGTAGAGTCGCGATGTACAGAATTGCGTGTCGATGGCGGTGGTTTAACGCGGTGACTCGATCCAGCCGTGCGCGTTGTCGTGTATTTGCCGCTGGCAACAAAATTTCGACACTATAGCGGTAGTACTCTCTCCCAGCGTAAACGCGCTCAAGACAATTGCAAAAACGACCAAAGATCGATTTTATTTTAACATAAATTTTCGAGTCGCAAACAAGTCAACGCGACAACTCACGTCTTCGACGTTAATTATTTTAATTAACACGTTCGAAAATTTTAGAAGCGAATTTTCGTTCAGAGCGACGTTTTAATTGGTTTATTTTAGCGACAAGAGTCACATTTGAAAATTCATGACGCTCTTCGGAACAAAAGCGCGTTTCGCAATTTCGCGAATCCACGTGCACGATACGCATCGATTAATAATTAAATCAAATGTCACTTCCGGCCAAACATGTCCGCATAATGATTATTTGAACGTTCCGCTCTACATGTATCTTCTTGCGTGTGACGAGAAGAGAGGGGGGGGAAGGGAGTGTGAAATCGAATGTGTCACACCGGGGGCAACACACCGTCGTGTAATTGCACAAATTGCTTCCCGCGCGCGTTGCAACAAATACGCGGTTATTACAGAGCATAAGGCTACGGCCATCTGATTACGGTGAATTCATTTGGGTGTCCTTTTTTTCCGGAGAGGGGAGGCGGCAGCGGCGGCGGCGGCGGCGGCGGCGCGTGCACAGCGTTTCCGCGGGAGGATTCCGAGCCACGGGGAGCGATAAATGGCCCATTCTCCGCGTTAACCTGTCCCACTCTCTCTCTCGCCGTTTTGTTTGTGCCGGTGAATAAATAGCGCGGTATATATCATTTCGCCGGAGGCGAGATCCACGACGGTCAGGAAGTAATGGAGTTTAAAATATCACGTATTTTTTCCTGTTATACGCACGCACACTCACACGGGCTCGTCTACCTACTCCCCCCTTTCCTCTCCTCCGTGAGAAAGACAAGTGGCTCTTCAACGGTGTACAGTGCCGCGCGGCTGGCTGGTTCTCTCCGTGAGAGCGTTTTCGCATGAAGTATATTTGCCCGTGTAGACGCGACAATCTATTTATGCAAATAACGCACAGGCGCCACAGGCGCTCATACAAATTTATTAAAATACATTATACTCGAAAATCACTCGCGCAGTGTTTTTGTTTTTTTTTTTTTTTTTATATAAAAAATATCTCCAGAGAGTGAAGTTAAAAGCGACGATTAACGATGATCGACGAACGATCGCCGTCCGATTATATTCGCTCACTTGGCCGCGTATAAACTGGCACCCACGCGAAAATGATTCTGGGACATCCAACGGCTACACGAGCTGCTCTTTAGCACCCGTTCGCGACCGTAAAGATACCTCTTGCAGATACCGACTTCTCCTCGGCCCGTCGACATTGTCGTACGTTACAGACACGCGGGAATTTAGTGAGCTATAAAAATATACAACCTCGCGTAACAGTGTGTTTTAACGGCGATAGAAAAGTATGGCGGATTTTGCGCGGCGGACAAATCTCACGGTCCGTTGAAATAATAATTTCTCGCGAATTTTCGCGCGAAAAAAAGACGGCGCGCGCGCGCAAATGCGAGAAACCGAAATAATCCCCTTCTCTCTCGTTCTGATTACAACGGGCGATTTATCGCAAACACCTTGATACAGATGATTAATAATCAGCAATTATATCGACTGCGTATCGACAGCGAAAATGAGGAAAATCGTTATAACTGCGCGGAGGAGGGGGAGGGGAGGGCAATTTGCACAGATACCGATTTGGTATTTGATCAATCGCGCGTGTGTATATACGTCGAGGGGAAAGGGTAAACTGTGTTCCGTTCTGGCTAGCCGAATTTAACGTGTTTAAATTACCTGAAGAGTTTATTCCCCCATCGGGAGAGCTGGCAAATGTTTCCTCTAAACGCGATTGCGAATAAACCATCGTATCGCTCCGAGTATTTACGCGGAGTTATGGCAAGATAATTTACGATGTATATTTACGATGCATATATTTTTGCACGAACTGTACAATAACTTACGCAGCTTAAGTTTCTAGAAAAAAAAAAAAAAAAGAAATTGTTTTACACGGTCAATAAATCCGACCTAGGTGTTTAGTTATTTCATTTGTGTGTGTGTGTGTGTTTTTTTTTAGCAGAGGTATATGTACACACGCCCCGATTGGAAGACGCGAAATGATCGCCGGATGTTTATCGAGCAATTGCACGCGCGCGTCGCGTCTCAATTGCGAATGTTTACGGATCAAAGTGCGAATATAAACAGCGAGCTAGAGAGAGAGAGAGAGAGAGAGAAATTTGAGACGCGGATAAGCGGAGTAAAACCACGCGCGCGAGAGATATCGACGGCGACGCGATATCGCAAATCGTAATTTTCGACGGCGAGAAACGATCCGCGCGGCGTTTCGTACTTCCATCGTTGTAAAATCTCTCGCGCCAACGCGGCTGTGCGCATATACGTACGTACACACGTCGCAGTTGCGGGAAATTCACGCATTTTATTTGTTTTGTTTCAATATTTTCGCGTGACAATCATATCGAACACGAGTTTTGTTGAGAAACTCTCGTATTAAATTTGTATATACAAACGAACATCTGTGTTTCGGTTGTTATAAATCTGAGAGAATCGCGAAATTATCTCTCTGTTCACACTCTCTTTCTCTGACCTCGGTGTTGTGTGTGACCTCGGGGAACAACAAAATTAACTTTCATCAAATACACAGAAGAGACAAGTATATGAAGGACAAGTACACAGGGACTGTATATGTTTGTGTTTTCCGTTTGATTATTGACTGGACGACATTGTAAGGTCACCGGATCTAGGAGGGGGAGGAGGGAGGGACAGGAGGGTCGAAGTTCGATTAAAGTTTGCAGACAGTGCACGTATATAAAGAGCTCTAATTCAAAATAGACGGGGAGTTCGTCGTGGAGAGTGAGAGGAGTCACAGACATTTCATTGCGCACACCTACTACCTACCGTAAAACAACAGGTAAAAAAAAATTTAATAGATTAATATTGGCAAATTAATATTTATATATCGATATAATATTTTATAATTAGCGTATTAATATTATAATATCAGGTCTAATATTAATATATATTATTAATTTTATTGTTCATTAGCGTGTAAATATTCTTTATATTAATTGCTGATTATATATTTACCGCGCGCGCACGAGATAAATGAATTCGTATTCATTTCTGCGTTTTTCTGTTCCTACCTGGTTAGTTCCGAGTGTTTTTTTTTTTTCAACTTGCGCTTCCGTGAATTCTGTTCGTAGTTAATTTCGATAGAGATCATCACATCAGAAGAGAGAGAGAGAGAGAGAGACGTTGGGAAAGCCTGTCGCTTCTCTCTCGAGATACGCGGAGTTTGGTCGGGATCGTCCGATCGGGAAGATGTCCTCTATCTCCGATCGGAAGCTATATGGATCGAGGAGACAGAATCTGTTCCTCGTAAACCTGCTTCTTTTCCCGTATATCGTGTTTCCGAGCGTCGAATCGAGTCACTCATTCTCCTTCTCTCTCGTTCCCGGAGAACACACCGGTCCATGCCATCCGTCCTCCGTAACGTCAGCGTTCGTTTCTCCCGTTTTCTCGCAGAGAGACCAAGAGGATGAGAAGGAGGGAGGTGGGACATCCTTGCGATCTTTACGGGAGGAGAGGAAGAGTGAAGTGGATGGTTCGACGCAACCCTACGATCGTATCCTCGAGCTCTTGGCCGGGGGGGAAAAGCGGATCGTCTTCTTCCGGAATCTCGACTATTTCGCCTGATTCGAAGGCTTAGCGGATGTTTGTCCGCCAACGTAGAACAATGGCGTCACAGTGGCCATTATTACTCGTTTTTCTCCTCCTTCTTCTCCTCCTCTTCCCGTCCGTTCGGCGAATTCGTCCTTTCGAACCGGGGACCGTGAACGTTCGTTACGAGAAAGGGTATCTCGCAATCGCCTACGACGATTTCGTTTTCTCTCTTTTTTCTCTGATAATCGAACTATCTCTCGGAAACTAGAAAACATATCAAATCGGAGACAGGGAGAAGCGATCGTTGATTGTTTGGTCAAGTTCGTAAAAATATTATACGTAGGATTTATCTCAAGTTGTAATTTTCCGGAAGAAGAAATATTTTACCGTCTTTGCGCGCGGGATTATATAGTGACGTGTAGTACAAGGATTGCGGTGGTTTTAAAGATATTCAAGCGCGCGCGCGGTCTCTCCGACGTGTGTATAGCCGGGGCGCTTTTATTCGTTTTCGCCCGTTGTTGAGGCAAGCATGTTGCGCGTTATCTTTTCCGCCGAGTTTACACATAAATTGGAGCCGGCGTCTCGATAAACTTCTTCCAGCGGGGATTCGCTCCTCCGCCCGTCCCGACGCAACTTACATGTTGCTCGCCGCAACAGCAAATTCGTTATAATCGTAAGTCGGCCAACGTTAAAGAGAAATATTTATCGTAACTTGTTTTTTTTTTTTTATCGTACTTTGTGGATTTGTAAGATTTCTCCTAGAGAGCAACGTTATATATGCGGAAAGCACAAAACAGAGGCATTTGCTTAAAAATTTGCTCCCGAGTGAAGCGGAAGTATTTTGTGACGTAGGTACGCGAAGTAACTTGAAAAGTGTTGATGAAAAAAACATTCAAATTTTTGCGAATCAACGCAAACGTCGCGGCGCGAAATAGGGGAGACCGGGGCACAAAGTAACATCCAAAATAGATTGTAAAAAAAAAAAAATGTACGCAATATTATGTAATATTGGGTACGTTATATAATAGTCACATCCTTTAGCTTTAAGAAAAAACAAATATTATTCTTATATATCTTTACACAAAAGAGTATTTTAATCAATTAATAAATTAAAGAATCTTTTAAAGCTCCGAAGTTTCCAAACTAATAAATATATATTCGGTCATGAGAGCCGTTCGCTAGGTGTTGTGCGGAAATTATACGTGTATATATATATACATATATACGTGTTCACGTGTAAATTTTTACACGTGAAATTCGAATTGTAATAACAATTCTAAAATTCATATAGGATGCTATACTTGCATCTCGTATATGAGAGATCCCAAATACCCCCCTAATTGAAATTAAATTTATATTGCAAAAAAAAGATGCAAGTATAGCATCCTATATGAATTTTAGAATTGTTATTACAATTCGAATTTCACGTGTAAAAATTTACACGTGAACACGTATATATGTATATATATACACGTATAATTTCCGCACAACACCTAGCGAACGGCTCTCATGACCGAGTATTTTAATGTTAAGTACAATCGCGCAGATTTATCAACCTGCCCCATACCCAGGGTTAATTGTCACATGTTTTTTATACAGAGAAACAACAAGATATAAAATTTGTTTTTTATTTTATTAAATTTATTGAGAGTACATAACATTATACATTAAGTATAAAGTATTTATACAATATTAATAATCATGTATATATAAAAAACAACTTTAAATGATTTCACATTACTAAATCAGTTAAAAACTATAAAACATAATTAGTAATCTAATCTTTAATAAAAAAAACAATGACAGGTACTGAAAAAGTTGTAACGACGCATAACGATCACTCCGATTACTTCTTCGCGCATGCTCACCGTGTGACAACTTATCCCGTCTCAATTTGAGTCAACTTATCCCAAACGTTCATTTTAAATAAAAGATATTATATATTTATAAACTGCGATGCAATGACGATTAAATAAATATAGAAAAACTTATTTAAAACTAGCATATTTCCTATACATAAGATACAATTGCAATTAGAAAATTTAAAACCAACGAAATTACTAAAGAATCGAGATCAGAAAAATCTACTTGCCATATCCAGTTTTACAAAAGTGCTCGTAAATATCATATATAATGTTTTTAAGAAAAGTTCTTTCGTACACGTTACTAACACTAGTAGCAACTTACAATAAAAAGAAGAATATTTTCCAAGATTTAGTAAGCAAGATAATAGCAGTTTGACAACTAACTCCGTGTCACAACTAGCCCCGGTCTCCCCTAACATACAAGGATAATAAATGAGAAAATAATACGTACGTATCATATAGAGAGAATAATATTTATTACATAAATGACAAATTTATTTTTTCATATAATCCAATTTTTTTATCATTTAACCAACAAGTATTTCAAATACTTACATGTATATATGTACTCGCGCGCTTTACATTTTAAAATACCGGATGACAATAGACAACAAAATGACAGAGTGAGGGTCTCTCGTAACGTTATGTGTCGTCGTTGGGATCGACACAAAGGGAATAAATTAGCGGAAAATAAGAAAATTGAGCGATCACAGAGAGTCAAACGCTTTTCTCCCGGCGTAATAGCGACTCTGAAATGACGGCGCTTTAAAGCGGCTCCTGAGCGGAGACACGTTTCGAACTTGATGTTTCGCGTCGCGGTGATCCAGTTTAAGCTTTGTCCCGCTTCTGCCGGGTTGCGCGTCAATCGCCTCGTAAATCCGGCACTAACACGCGTTGGAGTCGCTCGGCGAAACATCTTCCTTTATGCGCAGCAATAACGGGGCGGTCGCGATCGATATTGCCGGCACCAACAGGAAGAATCTTCGCCTGCCTGAGAGAATGAAAGTACCGTCGATCGTTTTGCTCCAGGCTCTCTTCTCGAAGCGCTCTGACTACACTCGATACAAATAATGTCGATTCTTATAACCGTCACCGTTTCACTGACTTCTCGATCAAACATAAAGCTTGATTCGCGCGCGACGTGCCGTAAACCCCCACGTGTCAAGAGAGAGAGAGAGAAAGAGAGAGAGCGAGACGCAATTATAAATTTCGCACCTGACGGCACATCGGATGCATGGTTTAGCGGAGATTTATGCGGACTTTGAACAGAATGATTGATTCCGCATTTCTTGCGTTAAAATTCGGTCGATTGGTCTATCAGTCCAAAAGTTTGCGCTATTTTTTAATAAAACTGAAGAAAAAAAATATTAGATTTTCTTGTATTTTTATCTCAAAACTTGTAGGGAGTTGTGTCGCCGAGTTGCGACGCCTCTGTGACACGATTCGATTGTTCGTAGCTAGCTTTTTCTCAACTACCGACTAGCTTTTGCCAAGACTTGATAAATGTCCGCTTAATTGCTCTTGATAAACTGATAACTATTAAACCGTCGACGTTGTAATCGCGCGCGCGAGAATATCTACTTTGTGCGCCGGAACCCGGTTATTTATCATTTCGAAGGCTCGAAGGGGAGAAGGAGTTTCGCGCTGAACGAGCTCGTAAAGCCGACGCCGTGTTTGCCGACGATATTCCGATGAAAGTTTCCGCGCGACAGAAACTCGGCGCTCTCCGAACTCCGGCCGAACTCGTTCGACGACGACGACGACGACGACGACGACGACTACGACGACGACGGCGACGGCGAGCGCGAAATCGGAGAATAGCAGCCGGTAGGCCGCCGCGCCGCCGATGTCTTTAAACTAAACTTTGCAGAATGACGCACAACACGTTCCTTCGCACCGCGAAACTATACCGTCGTCGTTTTGCGAGGGAGAAAGAGAAAGAGAGAGAGAGAGAGAAAGAGAGAGAGAGAGAGATGGTGCGAAGGTCAAACTTCAGAAAGTTGTTCGCCGTCGCATACAAACGAGGCAAGTATATTCGCTTCTCACGCCGAATTTTTGTAATTTTGAACATATATATATATATTTATAATCTTTGGACGCGCGAAGTATAAATTAGTAAATTACTCGTCGGCTAAAAAAAAATCAACGGAGAAAGCTTTTTTCGCGGTTATTAACGTGTAGCCGTTATTTTCTTTTTAGCACGTTGGGCTGGTGCAAGATCACGACGGGTACAGGTTAATGACTGGGTGGTTTGCACGCGAACGAAGGTTTTTTTTTTATTATTATTATTATATCTCGTTCGTTAGAGATTTACCGTTGAGGTCGTCAGGTACTCTCTTACGAGCATTTCCTCTTGCGTACCGAAGATAAAGTGCAGCCCGAA